TAAGCCGAGCCGAAGGTTAGGAGAAAAATGGCGGGAATAAGCCGAGCCGAAGGTTAGGAGAAAAATGGCGGGAATAAGCCGAGCCGAAGGTTAGGGCGGGCAAAATGGACGTAAAAGATGGGACTGTCAGTGAAAATAATCCGCAAAGGCTCGTCGGAGATGCTGGATAGGCCCGGCGGAGAATCTGATAGATTGGGCAGAATGTCACTGATAAATTCTTCGTCCTCCTCTGCCGCCTGTTTCCATTAAACTTGGTAAACTTGGTGATTGGAAGGATCAGTGAACAATCTGAGAGAATTCTGCTTCGACGATGGATGCTGCAACATGCAAATGGATTCGTTCGTCCCGTACTGATCAGTGAATAATCCAAGAGCATTCTGCTAAATCCCATCACCATAGATTCTCTCTCCAGTGATTGGCTTTTTTTACTAATTAACATAACCGTCATGATCGACTAATTAATCGATCGCCGCATAATGAGTAGTCTAATCAAGTGCCATTCATCCATGATTCGTCCAATCAGTCCATCCATGATTCATCCAATCAGTCCATTCATGATTGATCATCATCGTTTCTCGATCCATTCATGATTGATCCCATCATCCCGCATCTCCCGTCATCATGCAGTTCACGTTGACGTCACCATTCAGACTCAGAGACAAAAAGGGCGGTGTATCTTTCCATGTTCTAGAGGAAGATTCATTCTCAGCGACAATCAATCCCACGTTCGCTCATATTAGCCCACACAAGCCACTGGGTAGGTCAATTCCGCTCCTGGTTTTTACATGTCCACATCCAATTCTACTCTTTTTTTTTACATCGCCACATATCCACTTCTTGTTTTCACATATCCACTTCTGGATTTCACATACAACCACTTCTGTTTTTTGTTTTTTTTTTTAACCACTCCTTGTGTTTAGATATGACCACTTTGTTTTTTTTTTGTCCGTATCTGTTTTTTGCTTTTTTTTTTTAACCACTCCTTGTGTTTAGATATGACCACTTTTCTTTTTTGTCCGTATTTGTTTTTTTTGCTTTTTTTTTAACCACTCCTTGTGTTTAGATATGACCACTTTTTTTTTTT